CCCCACCCGCGATGCCGCCGCGAGATGACTAGTGAAGGGCCCCTGCTCGTGCCCGCCAGCCGAGCCTCGTAGCTGGAGGTCCTAGAGGACTGGAAGCAGATGGCAAAGTAATACTTTCAGTAACCACTTACAGAGCGTCTATTACATGCCAGGCCTGTGCTTCATTTACACGAAGCCTGGTGGTTGGGAGTGTGCCGCTGGAGGACAGAAACTCGGGCTTTGACTGGGCTCCATCTCGCTCGCTTTGGGATTTCAATCAAGTTACTCAATCTCTTGGTGACCCAATTTCTTCCATCTGTAAAATACTAATAATAAAAGTACCCACCACAAAGAATCGTGAGGGATTACATGGTGTACTGCACACAATGTGTTTTGCAGCATCTGGTAGCTACTACTAAGTACTGCATGAATGTGAAGCATCGTTATATACACCTGTAATTTCTAACCCTACCCCCAATCCTGCAATGCAAATCCATTAGTTAGAGAGAGGTCTGGCTGCTGTAGCAAAGGTTCTATTTGTCTGTGCTTTAAGCAAAACAGAAGTTTACTTCCCCTTATAACAGTGCAGAGGTTCAACCCGCAACTTCCACCACTAGGTTCCCATGGCTGATTCAGCTCCCACCAGCATATCCTAATCCCCGCCGGCAGGAAGGGGCAAACCAACCCCTTTCTTTTGAGAGTACCCTGAAAGGTTGCATACAACATTGCTGCTCAGACCCCATTGGCCAAACTTAGTCACGTGGCCATCCTGTCTGCAAAGGAAGCTGGAAACTATAATCGTTCCCTTAGCTAAAATCGTGGGGACTTACTAGTTGAGGGAAAAGAAAGGGAAAGTAGATATTGCTGTGCCAGAGTCCAAGGTCTGTCCACTCCTTACAAAGGGCACATCTAGTGCCTCCCGAAGGGAGGGAAGGCAGCCTTCCACCCAGACGCAGCCTGGCCCGGAGCCCAGGGTGTCTGAGGGGCCAGGTGTGGATGAGGTAGGTCCTCATGATCTGGTGATTTATAAACCAGAAGGCAGGTGATCCTGCCTGCCCCCGCCCCATTCCCCACAGACAACAGGGAGGAAGAACAGGATAAACTCAATTAAAACATCCACTCAAGAATAAAAAAGCTGTGGTATATACAATAAAATATTACTCAGCTATAAAAAAGAATGAGATCTTACCATTTGCAGCAGCACAGATGGACCTAGAGGGTATCATGCTGAGTGGAACAAGTCAGTCGGAGAAAGACAATTACCATATGATCTCACTCACATGTGGAATCTCAAGAACAATATAAGTGAACAAACAAAACAGCTACTACACTTGATCTTAGCCAAAAGGCTGAGAAGCTATGAACAAACAAAACAGAAACAGGCTCATAGACACAGGACAGTCTGACGGTTATCAGAGGGGAGGAGGACTGAGGGACTGGGTGAAAAAGGTGAAGACATTGAGAAGCACAGATCAGTACTTACAAAATAGTCACGGGGATGTAAAGCACAGCATAGGAAATACGGTCAGTAATATTGTGATAACTATGTAAGATGCCAGGTGGGTACTGGACATATCAGGGGGACACTTTGTAAAGTACATGATTGTCTAACGCACACCTGAAACTAATACAAAAGAATATTGAATGTAAACTGTAATTGAAAAAAAATCTACTCAACAAGAGAGAATGGCAAACGCCTGGCAGTCTCTGACTCTTAACAGTCACTAAGTCCAGCTGGGCAGGAATTGCAAAGCTGCTCCCTAGCCTTGGGAGAAGCTGGGCAGAGCGTCTGGCCACCCCTGCTCCTGCTGTCCGGGAAGATCCCCCCTTTCCACCCTCCTTGGTGGCCTCTGGCATTGCTCCTGGGAGCTCTTCCTGCTTAATGTCCTCTGCAGCCCCACCGAAGACGTTACAACCTTCACACCCCTCTTCCTGCTGGTGCAGATTTGGGGCAGTGGGAATAGCTGGGAGTGGGGGTGTCACACCAGGGTTTGCTGACCAGGTTTGGGGTTTCTTCATGAATACAATACCCTCAAAATCTTAAAAGTCTTCTGACTGGTTTCCTGTTCGAGTAACCACAGCCAGAGTCTCATATAGATGTAAGTTTTATGCTTGAACACTCCGGACTCGGGGTACTTCCTACTCTTTCTCTCTAACTGCCAGGAGCTATCTTGAGGCCATCTGAAACAAATATGCTTGATTTAAAGGGAAATCCCTTACCCTGCCCACTGGGCTGGCTTGCACTGTTTGCTGAACAGGGTGTGTTTGAGACAGATTTGGGACCACAGGTGCAGCCCTGGCTAAGTCTGCCTCCTCCAAACCACCTCTTAGAACGTGCCTCAGTGCATCTCTCTTGTGGGACTTTGCTTGCAGCAGCAGCCAGCAGCAGCCAACACACGGCAACAATTTCAGTGTATCTGTCAAGTCCCAGTGAGTGTTTGCAGACTGTTAGCATGTGCTTTCCCTTCCAAGGGATCACAGGTATCAGAGTTAGGTTAGGTTTTGCTGTTACATAGCAACGGTCACCAGCTTACCAGCAAACAATACTTTTCTTTGCTATCTGCTGTCCACTCTCTAAATCAATGACCTTTATTTTAGGCTTTTAAAGCAATGCTACTTCCAGATACCAAATTCTGCATTAGCTAGTATACATGTTCGGTTGTTGTAAAGAAGACCCAATTTAAATGAATTAAACAAGAAAAGTTTAAGCCCTGGCTGGTGTGGCTCAGTGAACTGAGCACAAGGCTGTGAACCAAAAGGTCTCAAGTTCAATTCCCAGTCAGGGCATGAGCCTGGGTTGTGGGCCGGGTCCCCAGTAAGGGGTGCGCAAGAGGCAACCGCATATTGATGTCCCTCTTCCTCTCTTTCTCCCTTCCTTCCCTTCTCTAAATAAATAAAATAATTTTTTAAAACAGAAAGTTTCGATTTTTTTTCTTATACTAGTCTGCTGAAAGTCCAAACCTGGCAGGGTGACGCTGCAACCTTTAATAAACATCTTTCATCTTGACACCAGATAGCTGCCCTAGCCCCTGCCATCACATTAGCATTCCAGGCAACAGTAAGAGAGGAACTCATGCTTCTTTCTTTTAAGGCCTGACCTGGAAGTTGCCCACATCACTCCCACTCATATTGCATTAGCCAGATTTAGTCACAAGGCCGTATTTAGCCTCAGGGAAGATTGGGAACCTGTGTTGATGATAGGCAGCCATTCCAGCTATAATTTAAGTGATTCTATTACTAAAGGAAGAAGAGAAAAATAGACATGGAGAGGCAACTGGCGGTCTCGGCCAACTAATGTTTTCACCCTCATTTCCCATTTACAGAAACAGACTCAGCGGAGGTGGGCTATTGCCAAGGTCATATGGCAGGCACACAGCAGAGCATAAATTTTAATCAGGTCAGCCTGCCTCCAAACAGGCTGTCCATCACATCCAGCCAGCAAATTTGGTCACCCAGGTGTGCACTGTTTACGTGGAGATAAAAGATACGGGGGCGTGAGTAGCCATGGAAACGCGAGCCCATCGCACACTGCAGTGGCCCGCGGAACACGCACTAGCGGCCCTGTGCGGTGTGGGCGATGCCATCAGGGGAGACTTTCTCACAAGGAGCCACTGCCCCGGGCCCTGTGCGGGGGCCATGGCGGAGGTGGAGGGGACAGGAAAGTAGTGCAGGAGAAGGCAGTGCTGTCAGCTGAGCCTGATGTGTGCCTGGCTTGTCTGGGAGGGTCGGGGGGCGGGGGGGGGGGGGAGCATAGGGGGCGGGGGTTTTCCAGGTCTGATGCATCACACACATCCAGGGATGGTCCACCTGACCTTTCTATCACTTGGGGTGTCCCATCAGCCGTGCCTGAGAAGTTGCAGGCAGGAACGGGCCATAGTGTGGAAGGACAGCGGCGCTCACCCCTGTGCTACCCAAGACACGCTCAGATGGGCAAAGTCCCTTCCCTGCTCTGTTCTCCTCCACCCCCACCCCCACCCCCACCCCCACCCCCAGGCTGAACGGGGGCGGGGGGGGGGCGTTTGAGGGATGATGGGAAATATGTTCAACGAATTCAATAGGAAATCTGGTAATCCGTTCCCGGGTGTCCACTCCAGGGCCAGAGACTGCGATGGGAGAAGCTGAACGAAAGAGGGGAGGGAGGGGCGGGGGAGCGGAGCGCCGGAGCGGCTGGGTCAGCGTTTCTGGTTTGGACGGTGACTCAGGCCCCAGGAATGCCAAGGAGGGGGGATGGGCAGCCGCCAGAGCCAGGTTGGGATCCTGTAGGCACCAAAAGAGGCAGGGACAGGAAACGCAGCAGGATGAGGGGGCTGGGGGCTGCTACACATCTGGATCTACCTCCACGCCACAGGTGGAAACAGGGGTCTCTCACCCGTGGCCCAGTGTAGCCCCAAGCCCTCAAGCCCACTGCGCACCCTGAAAGTGATCATCACAGCCTCCCCCACCTGCCCAAACTGTCCCAATCCTCCACCATAGAGAGAGGAACAGGCTCCTAGGACTCAAATGGGGACATCTGGACACATTCGGCCCCTGCCCCAGGACCACCCACACACCCCATATCCCCAGCCCTCCAGCTGGCTGCAGCTTGCCCTTTCTAACTCCAGTACCACCCACAACTGAAGTTTGTACAAGGAGGAAAGTTGAGCTCAGCCCGCCTCCATTTTCCTTTGCCAGGCGCCTGAAAAGGACGAGAGAGGCCCTCGGAGAAGGAACCCAGGACACAGGGCCCACTTCCCCCGAGCCCCAGTGCCCCCACCGTTGATCCAAGCCACCGCCCCCCCAACAGCAGGGGCCTTCCTGCTTGTCCTCCGAGACCCTGGAGGCAGCCCAGGACCGGACACCAAGATTCCAGGTTGCCCCTTTCCCCCCCACCCCACCCCCAGGCTGCTGGGCTGGAGCCGCTGAGCTGAACGGGCGGCCCCCTCCCTCCCAGCTGCCTGACACCCAGAGAGAAACCGATCCGGGAGGGCGGGGTGCCAGGGGCCAGGCCCAGAATAGTGCTGCCCAGCCACGGCGTCCAGCACTTGCTCTCTGTCGGTCCTGCCGGCCGCATGGAGCCCGAGCTGGAGCACGCACTGCGCAGGGTACCACGGGGGCTCCAGGCAGGGGACACAGCATGGCGTGTGAATGTGTGTGTGCATGTGTGCGCGTGACCTGGATTTTCTCTGTGTGTGAGTATGTTTGTGTCTGTGTACACACATTCTTTGTGTACGTGAGGGTGCGGGGTTCCATGTCTGGGAATGGTTGGGGATGTGTGTTTCTGAGTGTGTGTATTTGTGTGTGGGTGTGTGTGTTTATGGGTGTGTGTGGGGTGGGTGTTTATGTGTGTATGTGTGTGTGGGTGTGCTCACGTGTGCACCGTGGGAAAGCAAGACAGGACCTGCGTTCCGGAACGCAGGGCATTTTCCCCACCCTTCAGACGCCCTTCTCCCCACAGACCCCGTCCTGGAGCAGCCTTGTGGGACCTCAGAACCGAGGTAGGTGGGGCGGCCCAACCTGCTGGGCCCTGCCTTTCCCCTGGGCCCCCAGTCTCCCCCACTCCACCAGCCTGGCTTTTGTCTTCCTCCCCTCTTGTCTTTCTTTGTTCCTCTTTGTGTCTTCTTCCTCCTTTCTCACTCGCTCCTGCCCTTCTCCACAGCAGAGAAGGTGGGTCTGGGATCTGAAGGCTTGGACCCTGGTTCCGACTTTACCATTTACTAGCTGTGTGCTTGGGGGCAGACTTTTTACCCTCTCTAATCTCAAGGCCCCTGTTAATGAACTAGGAACGGTCACAGTGCCTCCCTTATAAGAGGCACTGTGAGGTTTGTTTGAATGAGAAGATGTGGGAGAAAAGCCCTTTGGAAGCTTACAAATATTCAATAACACTATTAATCACATTTTAATTGATTCCGTTACATCACGCCCTATTAACCAAACAGGCCCCATTCCCCCTTCCAGAGCTGAGCTTCCTAGAGCAGGGAGCTGGCACTTCATGGCCATCGCCAGCCACGACCAGCAGCTCAAAAAGAAGCCGCAGTAGACGGGGGGCCAAGGCCTCGAGGTGGGCAAGGCAGGAGGCTGTGGAGGAAGAGGACCTGCCAGGCCTGGGGCAAGGTGAGGCCAAGGCCAGTTCTGCGGGAAATGGGGGCGGGGGGTGTGCAGTGGGAAGTCCCAGAAGCCTGCCCTTGATTCTTCCATAACACGGAGTTGGACCCAATCCCTGTCTTTAGCCTCAGTCTCCCCACATGGGAGAGGACCACCGCATGGCAGAGGCGGGGACCCAACTTGGGTCACCCGGGGCAGAGCCGCTATCTCGTGCGACTCCCTGAGACCCAGCTTTCTCACCTGCAAAATGGGACGCACACACAATCCAGGCTTCCCAAGGCTGCTGTGAGGATGAACAGACACAGCAGATAACGTAAGTATTTTGGACAATGGAATTACTGCTCTCTCCCCCTCAAACAGATCCCCAATCCAGGCCAGCTGCTGAGTCCATCGGGCTGGAGACCACATTCCCTGCGGCCACGCCCTTGGCCCAGGCTGCTCCCTTGGACATCCTCCCCTGCGAGTCCGGAGCCTCAGCCCCTGGCTCCAGCACAGACGGCCAGGAGGTGGGCACAGAGGTCCCAGCCACAGCAGCCTGCGGGTATGAGCTTAGCCCGGTGGAAGAGAGGCCCGCCCCGTGCCCACCCCTGCAGGCCCCGTTACCCAGGCAGGGCCTGGATGATGAGCTGCAGAAGCCGGGGGCCCAGGTCTACATGCACTTCATGCAGAAGCACACCTGCTACGATGCCATGGCAACCAGCTCCAAGCTGGTCATCTTCGACACCACGCTGGAGGTGAGGCCACACGGCTCTGCCCACCTCTGTCCTCACGGGGCTGCAACCGCCCCTCACACCTTCCAGCCAGTCCTCCCTGCATGTCCGTTTCCAGAGCTCTTTCTCAGCACCACGGAGCCCAGTGCAGGGAGGGCTGCTACCCTCTGTGGGAAACTTCTCATGGTCATCACAGCTCTGCCCCTTGGTATCTGTAGGGTCCTGGGTCGGTCACATGACCTCTCTCCTCTCCAAGGTGGGGGTAGGAATGCCCACTTGGCCCTACAAGTTTCAGAGGACTCCTGGGGCAACCCAGGATAGGTAGGCGCACTTTGTAAGCCCTGGACAATGGATGTGGAAGATGCTGAAGACTGGCTTAGGACAGCGAGCAGGGGGCTCTCGGTGCCGGGTAAATAAGACGAGCTCTGGCCCCTGTTCTCCCACTGGGCGGAGCTCCGAGACACCTGCGGTCCCATCCTTGTCCCCCTGCTGGAAAGCAGTGTTTCCCAGGCGTCATGTCTGTGTGATCCACACCACGCAATCTGATTCCAGTGACATATAAGTGGATGTGTTTCCAGTAGTAGTTTTGTATTTTTTAAGATACGCATTAGAAATACAACCAGCATGCTTAGATAGCATTGCCCAGGCTGAGGCCCAAATGAGTCCATGTAAAATTTGTTTAAAGAAAAATATTTCATCAATTCTATGTCAATAACTATACGTCTAGGACTTAGATCAACAACATTAGACTGCGTGTGTGTGTGTGCACGCATCTGACTTCTGAGTGGAAACAGTTTTTCACACTCTGAGGGCCTGGCGGGGAGGTCACCAGGGGCCTCTGGCCACCAGCAGCCTTATCTCTGGAGCAAATGTCCCCAGCAAGGATGGTGTCAGGCACGTGCTATGACACGAGGGAGGCAGGCTGGCTCGTGTGCAGGAGTCCATGAGGAGGCCACGCAGAGGGGGACCCTGGTGGGGACGGGGCACCGCTGAGGAGCGGTGAGACACCCACCCCATCCATTCTCCCCGGCCCTCAGATCAAGAAAGCCTTCTTCGCCCTGGTGGCCAACGGTGTCCGGGCGGCACCTCTGTGGGACAGCAGGAAGCAGAGCTTTGTGGGTGAGGAGGGGCTGGGGAGGCAGAGGTGGTGGGGACGGGCCCTCGGGGGAGGGACCTCGTGAGGTGCTTCTGCATTCAATCTCCCCACCTGCGGAGGGGTGGCCACCAGCTGGCCCCTCTAGCACTAGTCCCCTATGGTCTCAGGTCATAGGTGATGAGAAGGAAAAAAGGGGAAGCAAGCAATTAGGAGAATAGAAGAGGGTGGGGGGAGGAGAGAAACTGGAGGGAAAAGGGAGAACCCCATTTCTCAGGCAAAGGAAGAGCTGCCCTGCTCCCCTCTTCCCATAATTGCCAGTGTTGTCTCAGTACCAGGACGCTAGGGGGGCCTGAGCCCCAACCTGCCTCCCACCACAAGGCCCCAGGCTGATGCCCCTGTACCCCAACCCCACAGGGATGCTGACCATCACAGACTTCATCCTGGTGCTGCATCGGTATTACAGGTCCCCCCTGGTGAGAAGTGGACTGGGAGCCCTGAGGGCGCTCCCCCGGGCTGGGTGGTGGGAAGTTCGGGGAGCTTGGTGCCCGAGGGGCCGCTGTCTGACTGCTGGATCCCTGTCCGTCTCTAGGTCCAGATCTACGAGATTGAAGAACATAAGATTGAGACCTGGAGGGGTGAGTGAGCAGAGGGGACCTGGAAAGGGGCCGAGGGTGTGTGGGTGACCGTGGGCCCGAGGGCCTGAGGGAGAGGACGGTCAGTGGGGATATCGTAGAGGGGGCAGAGGAAGGGTGGCGGGGAGCCCGGGGGCCCTCAGGGAGGGGCTGCTCTCCGGTGGGCTGTGCGGTAAGGCAGGGTAGTCAGTTTCCTTGGCCTGATTTGGGCTTTTTCTGCAGAGATCTACCTCCAGGGCTGTGTCAAGCCTCTGGTCTCCATCTCTCCCAATGACAGGTGAGCATCCCCAACCACCCACCTGAGCCTCTTTGCTCTGCACAGTCTCCTTCCCCGTCCCCCAGTTCCGAATTCACCTGCACATCTTGAGAGGCCCACAGGGCACCCTGTCCTCCCTTCTAGGGGGCTGGGCCGGAGGGTGTCTGTCCTCGGGCTGCCTCAGGCTCACTCCTCCCGCCCTGCAGCCTGTTCGAAGCCGTCTACAGTCTCATCAAGAACCGGATCCACCGCCTGCCCGTCCTGGACCCCGTCTCAGGCGACGTGCTCCACATCATCACGCACAAGCGGCTGCTCAAGTTCCTGCACATCTTCGTGAGCCTGGGACAGCCTCGGGCAGGGGTGACCCCGACCATCGGGAAGGGGGCAGCTGGGAGCCCTGGAGGCTGCGCCACCCTGACGGCCCCACATGTCCCCGACCCCTCCAGGGCTCTCTGCTGCCCCGGCCCTCCTTCCTCTCCCGGACCGTCCAAGATCTGGGCATCGGCACATTCCGAGACTTGGCCATGGTGCTTGAAACGGCCCCCGTCCTGACCGCACTGGACATCTTCGTGGACCGGCACGTGTCCGCGCTGCCTGTGGTCAACGAAGACGGTACCGCCCCCGGATGGGGCTGGGGGCACGGGTGGTGGGCGGTGGGGGGGCACAGAGGTCTGTGCAGCTTCAGCTTGGGGCCCGGGTGGAGTTCACCCGGGGGGAGTTCTAATTGGGGCCCAGTTAGAAGCTTCTGCCTGCTTTGAGCCTCAGTCCAGCTCCTTAGCCTCTCTGTGCCTTTGGTTTTCCATGTGTAAAGCGGGAATCTCAGTAACACCCCTCCCCCGACTTCACAGGATGATGTAAAAGGATTATGTGTGACTAAGTGAGCATGACCAGAGGAAACAGCAGAGGAGGTTTTTCATTTTAATTCATCCTAGAATGGGCCGGGGGACCCAGTCAGACCTCAGTGTCTTGCTCTGAGAAAGGGTGAGAGGAATTACGAGATCATTGCTTTGGTAAACCGTGGTCGTGAATAATTTCAAAGTGAGAACTGCCATAACGAAGTAGATATCAGTTGCATTCTAGTTTATTTTTGATGATGAAAAATTTGAAATGCATGAAAATGGTAGAAAAAGCTGTATAATGAACTCCGCACAACCACTGACAGGATTAACTACGATTCACATATTACCACATCAGTTTCTCTTCTCCTGCTGAAGTAATTAAAACTAGGTTATAGACATCATGCCATTTCAGCCCTAAACATGACAGCCCGTGTCTCTTAAAATAAGTGTATTTCTTATATCACCTAGCAAAATTATACATGATTAATTGCTATTGTCTACTATTCAATCCTAAGTCTCATTTCCCCATTTTCCCCAAGAATAACATTTTTCTTCACATTTGATTTTTTTCAAACCAGAGGCAATTAAGGACTATACTTTGCATCTGTTTCTTTTGCCCCACAAGTCTCTTTTGAGCTAAAACCGTTCCCTCCCCACCTAACTTGTACGACACGGGTGATGGAAAGCCTGGGTCATGGGTCCCACAGAGAGTCCCGCCCCCGGGTCTGCCCATCTGCCTGCCACAGGCGGCCTGAGCCTCGTTCCTCTACGCCTGTGTTCTGCAAACCAGATATTGGATTGAAGGCTTGACCAGACTCAGGCTCGACTACTGCGTAGGTGACGGGACGCACTCATGTGACTGTGTCCCGCCCGGAGGCGTGGCATCAGGTCGTCCCTCTCTCCCCCTGACGCTTTCTGATCTGTGGGGTCAGCGCGGCAGCCCGGTGCTTCGCTCTGGAGGCAGTGCTCCAGGGGCGGGGATGGCGAGGGGTTCTGAACCGGCCCAGGCCCTCACACGGCACCCCGGTTCTGATCGGAACCTATGCCCTGTCTCTGTGCCCCCACCCCCCTCCCTGCAGGTCAGGTCGTGGGCCTGTACTCCCGCTTTGACGTGATCGTAAGTGTCGGTGGGGAACGGAGGGGCGGGCAGGCTGCGGGGTGGGAATCGGAGGCGTCTGTGGGCCAGGAGGGCATTTCTAGGTGTGTAGGGAGCGGTGTCTGTGGGGCTAGAGCCCGGGTGCCGGGGCGACTAAGCAGCACGCCCCTCCCGCCAGCACCTGGCCGCCCAGCACACCTACAACCACCTGGACATGAGTGTGGGAGAAGCGCTGCGGCAGAGGACGCTGTGTCTGGAGGGCGTGCTCTCCTGCCAGCCCGAGGAGGCCTTGGAGGAGGTCATCGACCGGATCGTGCGGGAGCAGGTACCCACGCTCCTGAGGCACACAGCCGGCCCCTCCCACGGATGGCGCCAGCTCTCCCTGCACGCCAGGCACCTGCCTTGTCCTCCTACTTCATGGCCAAGCTCTGGCTGTCCACACTGGACAGCCACTAGTCCTGTCCATGGGGCCCAAGGGTCATGGCCACGGCCAGCTGATCACCCGAGGGAGGTCAGAACCTCCCTTAACTGGTTCCTAAGGGCCGTTCTCCTGCTGCCCTGGTTATGTCAACTTGTTGCCCCTGATTCTTGATGCCAACAACCTCATTGGCTGCCATAGCCGCATGGCCCTGCCCCTTACTGGACATCTGCGGGCCCACAGGTCCACCGGTTGGTGCTAGTGGATGACAGCCAGCATCTCCTGGGCGTGGTGTCCCTCTCCGACATCCTCCAGGCGCTGGTGCTCAGCCCTGCCGGCATCGAGGCCCTCAGTGCCTGAGAAGATCCGAGTCCTCCTTCCCAGGCCGCCTTCCCCACCCGGAGCCCACGAAGGGAGCTGGGGCGTCGGCCCTCATCTTCCCCCACCCCCACTAGCTGGTTCGACTCTGGTTCAGGTAGGCTCTGCTCTGGGCCACTGGCCTCAGCACCAGCCCCGTGGTCTTTTCTGGGCTCCCAGATCTCACGCTGCGGCACCCTGAGGATGGGGAGTGGCCCAGCTTCTAGCTGAGCAGCCCCACAAAAACCACAAGAGTCAGAACTCACCGTGGGGCCGTGGTGTTGTTCCCTTCTCAGTCGAGGTCACAGAGCCCCTCATGAGAGGGGGGCACAGGGGCCAGGACAAAGGCAAGGGCAGCGTGAGGTGACTTCAGGTGCCCCGGGGAGAACGACCTGCCCTTTCACAATTCAGTTCCCCCTGCTTGGAATGCCGCTACTGGGAGGAAGCAAGTGAATGCAACTTTGTTAAGTGGCATTTCCCTGCTCAGTAAGAACTCAAGCTAGAAGGAGGGAGCTTCTAATACTCTTCTCAGTAAATGTTGCTGATCTCAGACCTTCGCCTGGGAGTGCGTTTGCTCGGGGCTTGCAGAGGGGTGGGAAGCGGATCCCACTTGCTTGGCAGTGGGGTGGCAAGACCGACGTTCTCCTGTCGGAAAGGCACCCTCCCCTCCCCGTCCGGTCACCGTCTTCCCTTCTCTTTTCCTCACAGGCTTCTCCAGCCCTCCCTAAATGCCCCTGCCCTGCCTATGCTCCCAGAAGCCCTCGGGAATGCCCAGAGCACTATGGGATGGTGAGATTAAGGAGAAAAGCTGAGTCAAGCCTAGAGGTCCCTGAACCAGAGGCACTGGGATTGCCCCAGGGCCGACTGCTCCACGTCCACCCACGTCACTTTCCCCTCTGTCCCATCGGGGCGGCGAGCCCACAGGTTTAGTCAGGGGCTCTGGATCCTTCGGCTTCTGGACTACCTGCTGCTCTGCGTCCCAGCTCCTGGGAGTGCAGCTGTCCTTCCTGTGTGAGAACTGCCTTGGCGGTTCCCACCTTGTTGCCACTGCCCTCCTACTCTGCCTGCACTGACATTTCGGGGCTGCTGGGGGCGCCATGGAGCAACAGTTATTGGTAGAGCTGCCTGTGGGAGTGGGGTCTCCCCTCCATCTGCGTCCTCAGCTCTCGCCAGCAGTGTTCCCAGTGCCTGGCGAAGGCCCCGAGTTCAGATCATGAGGAGGAACGATAGAGAAAACAAAGAGAGCAACCCGTGAACTTAGATTTTATGTTTCACTCAGAAAACGCTACAGTCATTTGACGTGAGCCTGTGGCAAGATCCCTCCTACTTTCCGAATTGGAAGACGCGAAGGAACGTCTGTAACTGGCCAGTGCCGGAAGCGGCGCTCCTTGGGTGCACACAGTGCTACTCCACCGACATTTCTGTTTCATCTTTTATTTATAACAAAGCCACAGAGAAAATATTAGTTCCTTGCACAGTAGCTACAACTCACTCCATAAATTCCGGTCTGCGAGAAGCTTAACTTTGTTTTTCTAACACTGAATGTTGTTTCTGTTATGAAGCCCCTTTCTCCAGGTGGTAGCAATTAATCTCAGTCAGTTTGAGGTTCCCCTCCCATCTTCTCCTGGGGTTCAGTGAGGAGGAGGAGGCTTTCAATGGTGTAAGAATTTGTTCCTCAGCCATCATCATCATCCACCCGGGTCACCTCCTGTTGCACACCCCCATTCCACCTGGTTGTCACATGGTGGGTCATCGGTGGGCATGACCCCTGCTCAGTGACCCCTCACTCACTGCCATGAAGCCTCATTGGGCCTGCCTGCCCTTGGGCCATGAGGACATTCCAGCTCCTGGCCCTGCACCCCTTGGGCTTCAGGAAGCTCTGTGGGGCTGTCCCAAGCCCACCTGCTGAGATGGACAGCCACTGGCCTGTTCTATTGTGAGCCTTTCGGATTTTCCTGGGAAACATGGGTCCCCAGGGGGCTTCTAGCCTGTGCCCTCCAAACCTCTCTGGGGTATTTGTTGTTCTTCCCACCGCCCCAGACACAGCTCCTTCTCGCAGGGACCCCAGAATTGTCTATATGCTGCTTCTCCAAGCCCCACCGGCCTGTAAATCTCTACCCAGTGGGAAGAAGGGGCATTTTTCTCTGACCCATCATATGCTCTTCCAAATCCGCTGTGTGTGTCTTGAGTTTCTGACACCCATCTTGAGAGTTGGGGTTTTGAAATTCCAAAGTCAAGTCCGAGCTTCTGCTGTGTGGCCCTCACTGTGACCAGGGACACTGCAGGTAGAGCTGGTCAGTGGGGAGGGAGAGGCTAACATATCGGAAGCATGCTCCCTCCCTCCCCGTTCACCTCACAGAGCAGCAGAGTGCAGGCAGGGAGGAGCCTGATGGGCCAGGCAGCAAATGCAGGTGTTTTCCCAGACCCCCACCTTATGTTTCCAGTTGGCTCTAGCCCACAGGTCAGGGGCTGGCTCTGCTCTGGCCCTACCTAGGGAGGTACTGGGTCTTGGGCTCAACTGGGAGGATGGGATGCAGGCGTATGCCCACTCAAGTGACAACATCCTTGGGTGGGGGTGGGCAGGGCAGGCTGCCCCTGACCGAGCTGGCTCTAGGGAAAGTGCGGGAGGCTCAGGCTTTGGGGGGGGTGGTGCCCTGGGGTGCCCAGGCCTTCAGAGGTCCCAGCACAGGCCTTAGGTGGAACAGGCAGCCTGGGGAAGGCAGTCTTTACCCGTTCTGCTGCCCTCCAGAGCCGACGGGTCTCCACCCCGCTGAGGTCCCAGCAGTTCACCGCCCTGGGGAGAACTTTCTTTCAGTTGAAGGCACATGTGCTGTGCTGAGTTAATGTGCACCCTTCTGCAAATCCTACTGTTGTTCTTTCCTTACAGAGTCGGGTCAGGGTGGGTTATCAGGGAGCCTCCCGGGACCCCCCCTCCCCATGCCGTCTGGGGCAGCACACCGTCCTGAGACCCCAGACCCTGGAAGTGTGCCTCATCACCCTCCGGCCTCTGATGGGCTTTGTGCCACACCTCAAACCACAGCTGTTTTTCACCCTCCAGAGAGAAATGTGCAAAGGAAAGAGCCCACACTATTGCATCACCAAAGAAAGTACTTTTTTCATTTACATGAAGTGTCTCGTGCAGGTATTATGCCGGAATGTAAACTGACAGAGGCCATTTTCACACACCCCCCTGCCCCAGAATAGGAGAAAGAACTTCATGTGCACGTATGGTGTACACGTGCTGTTCCCCAGGTACATTTCATCAGTCTTTTTAAAAATAAAAAAAAAAAAGAATATCTAGTATAACAAAACCTCTTTGGCCATGCTGTATTTCATTTTTCTCTGTTCGGGGAAGAAGTCTTTGATTCTTCTTCCCAGAGCTCTGTCTGTGGGCCAGGTTCCCCAGTCGTGTTAATAGCTCTCCGGCCCTTTCCTCCTGGGGGACCCAGCGTTCCCTCGTCAGTGGTGGCCAGAGCTGTTGGGGGAGCCTTGGAGGCTGTACCTACATACACCTCACCTGCTCTTTAATTGATCCTCACACGTACATCACCGTTTCACCAACTGCCCAGCTCTTGTTTCGGCTCTGCGTTTCCGGTTCCCGACTGGCGGCTGCACTTTAGGACGCAGAGACGCACAGCAGCGGGACAGCCCCGGCCCAGGACGCCCCGCGGTGCCGCTGGAGGTACTGTTACCGTCGGCAGCTATTTCTAGCCACTCAGCTCCGCAGATGTTTTTCAACTGAGAAATAATTCACATGCCATTGACATTCATTCTTTCAAAGCGTACAATTCAGTGGTATTTAGTACCTTCACACAGTTCTGCAGCCATCGCCACTATCTAATTCCAGGCCATGTTCTCCATCCAATAGAAACTCCACACGCGTTAACAGTCACCCCATGCTCCCTCCCTCCACCCCAGGCTTCCAGCAGCTACTAATCTGCTTTTTGTCCCCATGGATTTGCCTACTCTGGACAGTGTGTGTAAACAGAATCACAAAGGATGTGGTCTTTCCCAAATGCGTGGTGACAGAAGGTGATTCAACCTTGGGTGGCGCACACACAAGGCCATACACAGATCGTGTATTACAGAAACCGACACTTGAAACCGACGTACTCTTATTAACCAATGTCACCCCAATAACTTTCATTTAAAAAGATGTGGTCCTTTTTGGGGGGGGGGGTTCTGGTTTCCTTCATTCTGGTTTTCAAGGTTCATCCATGATGTGGCATGAATCAGTGTTTCATTTCTTTTTATGGCTGAATAATGTTCTATCTGTGCATATATAAGCTCTTCATAGATTTTAGTGGGAAATCAGCCTATGCAGCCACTCACTGAGCTGCCGATGGTGAGTGCGGACCCTCTTGGAGAGATGCTACAGATCCCCAATTCCAAGCTCTATCCCCCCACCCAGGAGCCGGCACTAAGGCGTTCATGTGGCTTGGACAGCTCACCTTGGGCGGTCTGAAGGAGCAGCCCGCCGGGAAAGGCGGAAGTCAGCTTTGGGTGACGCAGTGACAGGGATCCTGGCACCTCCGGGCCCAGCCCCAGTGTCCTCCGTGTTTCTAAGGAGCTCTCACTGTGAGCCCCTCCACAGGCAGGGTCCAGAGCCACGCCTTTCTAATCCGGACTTCCTTCCAGCTCCCTCCGGGTTTCCCTTCTCAATATGGAAAGCTCCTATGCACCCCTGTCCTTCCCTTTCCTTCCTCCAATTCCTGTCTCTTCTCATTCAGCAAAAATTTATTAATCACCTCCCGAGAGCCAGACCCAGAGTGAGACACTGGGATCCACACCGAAAGGGGCTCGGTTGGTGCCCTCCGTGCGGCCCGCGGCTGGCTGGGGACACAGGCACGTTTACAACACGGGGAACAGGCTGAGCACTCAGTTCTGTAGGAGAAGGGGGTGGGGGACGCACAGAGGGAAGCGCTCACACTCGCGCAGGGAGGTCAGGGAAGGCTTTGCAGAGGCAGTGACATTTGAGCTGAGTTCTAAGGAAAAGCAGGCTCTCTGCGATGACGTGACAGTTGGTGAACGCCCAGGGTGTTCCAAGGAGAGGGGACATGAAGTACAAAGTGTCGAGGCCAGAAAGAGCACACCGTGCTCGGGGGAAATACAAGGAATTTGGGCTCAGCCGTGGGGAGAGCTGAGGCCGACAGGGAAGCATGGAGGCCGGTGTGCAGGGCAGGACAGGAGTCTTCCAAGCCACAGGAAGGGTTTTGAACTTGAGCGACACTGAGGGAGACCACTGGAGGATTTTAGTTAGGACAACTGCGTGCTTTTCTAATGGGTGCACACTCAAATCCCACAGACATAAGAAACCTGACTTTTGTTTTCTATGACTCAGCAGAAATGTACAACCCAGACTGGGCCTCTGTGAAGCTGGGACTCACCGAGTTCTCAGGTTTCTGTCTGATTCGGTACTTTGGGTCTCAGTGCAAACCCGCTTTCATTCTGGCTGGCTTTCTGTGCGGAAGAGGTTTGGAAACTAAAAACCATAATCCTCAGACTTCCTTGCAGCTAGAGTTCCAGGTGGGAATCAGGTTCCACCTCTCAAATGTATGTGAGAGATTTGGAAAGTGGCAGTGAGACAGAGGACACACACCTGCTACTCCTGATCTCTCTGGAGGCATTAACAGAGGTCCAGGGCCAGTGACCACTGGCCTCAGGGGTACTCAGGGGCAGGAGTGGGGAAGGAATCTTCCCTCCCTCCCTCCCTTCCTTCTTTCTCTCTCCCTCCCTCCCCGACTCTTTTCCTTCCTTCCTTCCTTCCTTCCCTTTCCTTCTCTCTCCCTCTCCCCCCCTCCCTTCCTTCATCCTTCCCTTCCTTCCCTCCTTTCCTTCTTTTTCCCTCCCTCCATCCCCCTCTTCCCCTTCCTTCCTTCTTCCTTCCTTCCTTCCTTCCCTCCCTCCTTCTTTCCTTCCTTCCTTCCTTCCCTCCCTCCCTCCCTCCCTCCTTCCTTCCTTCCTTCCCTCCTGTCTTTCTTCCTTCTGGCCAGCATAGACCTGGGAGACACGGAGCAGCTCTGGGGCCAACAGTGTAATGAGAGCTTCCCAGCTCTCAATCTCCTGAGTGTGGGCACGTGTTGCTCCCCGGGCTGCTCAGTGCCCTGGTGATGTCCTAGAAGTCACACTCCTGTAGGCCTGGCCTGGAGTTCCTACAACAATTTGTGTAGCACTTCACTGCCTGTATCCAAGCACGTTCTGTTCAATAGAGGGTGCTGTTCTCAGGGTCTGGGAGCACCCCCACTGCTCCTGCTCAGGCCGGGCCTCGGCCAGTGCCAGGCGAGGCCCAGGCCTTTGTGTGAGGCCTGGGAGAGCACACAGGGCTCTCCTTCTCCAGAGAGGGAGGCAGCTCCGCCTCCCGCCAAGATTCCTAAGTGGGGAGAGGGCATTTCCCAAACACAGAAAGGGGTTCAGAGGTTCGCTCATCAAAAAGAATGACCAAGGTCTCCAATGACCACAAAACTCCCTTTATTCTGCTTTCCAAAGGATAGCAATGTGACAAGGGTGTGGCCTTTTATCTAGAAGGGAGATGCGCAAAATGATAAAAGTAGCAAAAGCACATAGTTCTGTGGGAAGCGCACTGAGTGTCTCCAACCTTTGGTCTCCGGCAGTCCCCTTCCCCCTCATCCCAGACAGCCAGGGCCAGGGCCTCTAGGGGGAGCCCCAGGGTGGCAGGGGCCCCACTCAGCTGTGCCTCTCCAGGAAACGCAGGCCCACCTTCTTATTAGGAACCAGGACGATGCGGGCCACACTCTTCACCTCCCCTGTCTCAGGAGCCAGGACTACCTCGTACTGCTGCATCAGCTGGGAGGTACAATGCACACGGGGCAGTTAACGTCTGTGGTCTGCATCCACTGCCCTTCCCTGCATGCCCCGCCCCCCCGCTTGCTTCCCTTCCTCCCCTCCCCAAGGTCTCCTTCACCCCTCCCTGGCCCACGCACCTCCCGCCTCTCCCCACTCACCCTTGCCAGCAGCAGCTGCATCTCCAGCTCCGCGACCCTGCGGCCCAGGCAAGCCCGGACCCCGTAGCCGAAGGGCACAGAGCCAAATGGGTGTTGGACCCCGAGGGTGTCAGGCTGACTCTTCTTCAGCCAGCGATGGGGGTGGAAGCTCTCCGGCTCAGGGAAGATGCTAGGGTCCCGGGACACCACATAGTGGCAGAACACGAACTGGGTCTTCAGAGGAAGAACGGGCAGCACATCAGCTTAGGGCCGTGGGGCACCCCGGGGAACCCCAGCCGTCCAGCCCCACTCACGTTCTTGGGGAAGAGGAAGCCACCAACTTCAATCTCTTTTTCCATGATTACCCGGGAGTTTATGGGGACCACAGGGTAGAGGCTGCAGGGGAAAGAAGAGGCAGGCCTGCCTCTGGATCCGAGGAGGGGCAGAGTGCCCGCCCCTGCACCCCACCTCTTCGGTTCCCCAGGCTGCCCCGCCATCTCGACTCTGGCCAACGAACCTCAGCCCACCAGGCCCCACTGCCCACTCCCGCGTCACCCCCCACGCACAGACCCTGTGTTCCGGGAGCAGCAGCTTACCGCAGGGTCTCCTTAAGCACAGCTTTGAGTAGGGGCATGTGGGCAAAGTCCTTGTGCCGGGGCACCTGCCCCGCTGGCACCACGCCCACCACTTCCTCATGCAAGGCCGCCTGGATCTCTGGGCTCCTTGAAAGGTGGTACAGGGCCCACGTCAGCGTGTTGGACGTCTGGGGAGCAGAGCGGGAGAGGGAGTGAGAAGGGATTTGCGGGAAAGAAGCCAGGTAGGCGATGGGAGGGTGCGAGTGGGTGCGTGCAACATGTGGGGGAGAAGTACTTTGCCATAAGCATGACAGAGTAAGACGGGGGTCTGGGGGGCCCTCCGAGCTAAACGTGACTCCACCGTGGGACGAGGACCAATGACGGAGAATGGCACTCGAACAACAGAGGAGACTCTAACACAGAGAAACCCAACATAAAAAAAAAAATAAAACCTAAAACCCCAACATGAAAAGAGGTCCTACAAAGAGGCTGCAGATGGACAGGCTCTCCAACTCTCGACTTCAATTAGAGTGCGAGAGAGCGAGAGAGTTTGATTAGGTGTGAGATGGAGCTTCCCGGCTTTCGGCAAGGCTCCGGAAGGTGACGTAATCCCTCCTACAAGAGGACAATTCCCTGCCCGCCTCTGCAGGGCTGAATGACCTCCCCACCTCCATTTTCCTTCTAGCTCTACATCCATGTCACAGAAATAGAAGCAGGTACCTGGAGGGGCGAAGGTCAGGTTCAGGTGGGGGGTAATGGGGAACTGGATCAGGATGGGAGCCCCTGATCGCCTCGCTGGCCCCCCTCACGCACCGTGTCTACTCCAGCCATGAGCAGCTCAGGGAGGCTGCCCATGGCGTCGTGAGGACTGAGCTGTCCGCTGCTCAGCAGGAAGTGCAGGTAGCCAGATATCTGGACCCCATCTGGCCCTTTTGTCTGCAGTTGGGCCTCTATCTCATTGAGTTTCTGATCAATGAGCTTCTTCCCTACAGGGACAGGGGACAAGAGGGGAGGACAAGGTCAAAAGTCATGCTCTCCAAGGACCAGGAGCCACTCCGACAGCTGCTAGTATGAGGGAGGTGGTTGTGGGAGACTGCCAACACATGGCCCCTGGGACCCACCCCCCAGCTGCATCTCCTGGGCCCCTCACCGAAAGAGAAGATGACGTCCCAGCCATCCAGGTATCTCTTCCAGAAGGGCAGCAAGGGACGGGTCCACTTGGGGAGGAAGGTGGCGTAGAGGGAGTTCTGGAACATGAGCCCGACAGATCTGACGAAGGTCGCGGTGTCCTGGGGGATGGAGCGCTCCAGGCAGCCAATACGTTTCTCAAACAGGATGTAGCAAATAGCTGGCAGTGCACAGAGGCCAACACGGGAGGCAGGGCCATGGCACACGGAACCCAGGGGGCTGTGAGGGGGGTAAGCCACCCTGCCCCTGACCGCGCCCGCCCAGCCCCTCTCCCGACAAAGGTACCTTCCAAGGCGAAGTAGTAGAACTGGTGAGCCGTGTCGGCCACCTGATCCCCAGAGGCACTCTCTGCCCGCAGCTCTTTCAGTCGGACCATGAAGCTGTCAATCACCTCATTCAGAGCATCTGTGTAGAGTGCAGCCTCAGCTGGCTTCAGCATCCGCTGGTTCAGCGCCTGGCGCAGCTGGTACCAGTGATGTCCTTGCCTGCGGGGGACAGAGGGGCGGCACAAATGTAAGTATCCGATGGGGCTCCAATGGGAGGGCATCCGCCCCTCAGGCACCCTACGGACTCTAGGAAAATCTCATTTTGAGATTGAAAATGATAGCACCATCAAAACTTTCCAAGGCTAGAATCTTCAAATCATAACATTTTAAAATCTCACTACAGCAGAGTGGCAGTGGTTCAGGTGGACACCTAGAGCCAGGCTGCCGAGGGGCAAATCACAGGCATGATGAGTCCTGGCTGAGTGACCGGCCGTGGGCAGGCTGCACTGAATTCCTCTGTGTCTCCGTGTCTCCTTCTGTAAAATGGGAATAATAAGAGTGCCTCTCACAGTAGGCTTGGCCGGTGCTTAGATCGGTGCCCGGCACGTGGTGAGTGCCTACTAACTGCTGACTGTGATTATCTTAGAATTACACAGCTCCAGAGCCTTCTGTATGTGAAAGGAGGAGGCGCTGCAGTGGCTCAGTCCGTCCGTATAGAGGACAAGGAATAAAGAAGGAGACAATTAGGGTTCCCGGGGTGCCCCTATTCTGAATCTTCATGCTCTTCTCTGCCCAACAAGCCAAGGGGACAGGGAGCCCCACTAGGCCGATGCCTTCAACCATCTTGCCACGGCCATCCAGCGGGTGCTTTGGTCCCCACTCTGATCAGTCAGGGAAGCTCACACTGTGGGGTGCATGCTTCCGGTGGGAGCGCTTAATGTTCAGAAGCTGCCCCCACCCTCAGATACCCCCACACCCGTTACCTTTCCTAAGAAAGCTGGGATGGGTCTGTTTTTATAAGCTAGTTCCAGAATAGTAAGTATTGTACAATGTAGTCCAATTTTAAGAGGAGAGGAGGAAGCCCCACACATCTAGGTGTATATCTGCATGTTTCTACAGAAAGAAGGGAAGAATACACGCCCGACTGCTGGGACTACTTAGGAGGATGAGACAGGAGTGAGAGGTAGAAAGACAGTATTTTATTATTGAAATTTTTACAATAAGTGTTACTTTTAAATTTTCAAAATCAATAAGGTATTTTAAAAGGAAAAACTCAATTCAAAGTCTTAAGTCAAAAATCAGATTTTTAATTCTTAAAAATATTGATTTTAAGCCCTGGCTGGTGTAGCACAGTGGATTGAGCACGGCCTGCAAACCAAAGCATCGCAGGTTTGATTCCCAGTCAGGGTACATGCCTGGGTTGCAGGCCATGGCCCCCAACAACCGCACATGGATGTTTCTCTCTCTCTCTCTTTCTCCCTCCCTTCCCTCTCTAAAAATAAATAAAATCTTTAAAAAAAAAGAAATGGAGACATCATAAGGGTGTTTTTAGAAATATTGATTTTAAAGGAACCTTGAACCCCAGTTTTCTTTATTATACTCTATTAACATACTATAGCAAAAAAAAACCCCTGAAAAAACATAAACTAAAAGTGCCGCCGAGAAAGACATGGAAGCCAGAGTAGACTCATTTACTGAAGCTGCAGGCGGCAGGTGCTTCTCCAGGAGTGAAACTCTCCAACAGCAGGGATCAGATTTGCAGGGATTAAATGAGAGCATTTCTGTGGTTGATGAACTATTTCTTGGGGAAACATGCTTCATAAAGTAAGATGTAAATATAAATATTTATGTATATTAAAACAAAAACACCCTTATTATCATAGGTTAGCAAAATGGCCTTTGCATACACACGGACGGCATCACATGCATAGGAAACTGGCGTTAGAGCATAAAAGCACAAACCGACGACAAAGGGGCGTAATGTTCAGCTCTGGCTCTAAACCTGAGCCTCGAAGTCCACAGGTGGCCTGACTCGGGGAGTCTGAGACCCAGATCTCACCCTCAGAGTCAGATATCAAGTTGAAGAGTCTTGTTTTGTTTTGTTTTTAAGATTTTATTTATTTGCCTCTAATATGTGCCCCACCAGGGGACCGAACCCACAACCCTGGTCAGGCATGTGCCCTGACCAGGAATTGAACCAGTGATCTTTCACTTTGCAGAATGATGCCCAACCAACTGAGCCACGCCAGTCAGGGCAAGTTAAAGAGCTCTTGTCCTTCAAGAGCTCTTCAAGGTATGTCCCATTCTCTGTTCTCTTCCCAGGACTGTGCATAAGGGGCCCAGGAATCATTAAGTTCTGAGGCTGTCCACCTGTGAAGAACTGGGAAGAAAGAAAACCGTGCAATGGGAAAATGCGTGTATCGGCATCAAAGACAGAGGAGACAAACCCTCCGACCGGCCCGTTTTCTTTCCCAAAACACGGAGGCAGTGAGTCCCTGAGCTCCGGAATCAGGGGTCTATTCCACCACTTGCTAGTTGTTGTCACTTCTGCCCAGTGAGGCAAAAAGCCCTCTAGGACAGTTTCTTCATCTGTGAAATGGGAATAAAAGTCTCTTTCATGGGCATGACGTGAGGATAAAATGAAATAGTAAATGGAAAGAGACTAGCCCGATGCCTGGCATGTCATAAACACACAGTCACTCACATTGTTGCTGGCACTATTCCTGCCACCAGCACCGACCTTACTCCCTCAAGAAATGGCTGAAACAGGGACACTGAGCAGCTAGGGAAAATAAAAAGCCACTCATTTTTAGAGCTCTGTTAACATATTATAGCAACAACAATAACAAAAAAAAAAGCCTGTAAGATGCCCAAATACAACCTGTGGCATTGGGAATGGTTTATCACCAGTGATTCTCAGTTATTTACCGCAGTAGACATATGGGTATATAACATGCTCAGCCCATCCTCCAATCTGTCGCTGACAAAATAATCTCAACTTTTCTAGGCATAGCTTCAAGACTGAACCTACATCTATCTCTTGTGTATGGACAGCATGTGTGGAACGTACATCCAACAACAAGCATACAATACATAATTTGGGAAATATTTCAAAAATTAGCCCTGGCTGGTGTGGTTCAGTGGATTGAGGGCCAGCCTGCAAATGAAAAGGTCGCTGGTTCGATTCCCAGTCAGGGCACATGCCTGGGTTGCAGGCCAGGTCCCCAGTAGGGGCTGTGGGAGTGGCAACCACACACTGATGTTTCTCTCCCTCTCTTTCTGCCTATCGCTCTCTCTAGAGATAAATAAATAAATACATACATAATCTTTAAAAATTAAACTGAGCCCTCCCAGCTCATATGGTTTTAACATTTTTTTTTACTATAAACAGATATGTCCCATTATGATCTGAGTTGGTATATTTTCAACCATAAGGCAGAATAATGGAGCTGGAAAGGTCCTAGTTACCTCGAAGATAGGTTAGTCTATGCTCCCATGTTACAGGTGAGAAACGCAGGGCCAAGGAAGGGGAAGTTATTCATTTGTCCGAAGTCCTACAATATACTAGTGGGAGAGTCAAGGAATGGTCCCCAGGCTTCAGTCAATCCCAACCACTGCCTTCCTGACAGAGTGTTGGGGAGACCCTGCCCTGCCCTTTATCTATTGGTTGCCCGGTGCCACTGTCCTTGGGCCTGGCCCGCGGGGGCCCCATTCCAGTCCCTTCAGGCCCCAGCTCACGTGGTGAAGGGCCCATACGCCAGGCCCTGCAGGTCCCGGTGCTCCTTCCATAGATCCATGTCGTTCCGTAACGGGTACTTGCCCTCTTGCCGCATCACTTGCTCCAGGAGCGGGGCGCTGGCCAGGTTCACATGGCTCTGAGATCCTGCACGGGTCATCCACATCGGACCGTACTTGGCCTTGTACAGCATCTGTGGGGTTCAACCGAAGCTGAGTAACCATGACCCAACCAGGCAGGCACTTCATCGTGAGAAGATCAGGCAGGGCCTGATGGCCACGCTGAAGCAGGAGGGTTGGACGAAATCACAGTGTGGGGGGCAGGCACTGGGTGGCCTGTGGTTCCACAGAGAACACCGAAGAAAGCACGGGCGCACAGGAGTCAGAGTACTGAGAGAATGCGTGTCTGGTGGAACTGCGGGAACCACAGTCCTCGGAGGAATGAGATGTTGAAAAACAATGGGCTGCCCTGGCTGGCATAGCTCAGTGGATTGACCGCGGGCTGGGAACCAAAGTGTCCCAGGTTCGATTCCCAGCCAGGGTACATTCCTGGGTTGCAGGCCAGAAACCCCAGCAACCACACATTGATGTTTCTCTCTCTCTCTCCCCCTTCCTTTCCCTCCCTTCCCTCTCTAAAAATAAATAAATAAAATCTAAAAAAAAAAAAAAAGAAAAAAGAAAAACAATGGGCTATGTGGCAAACTGGGGTGTGTGGAGGTATAGACATTTGGGGGTGCACGTTCTACAGAAACAGCCCTCTGGCGAGGTGTGGTAGGGTGCCCACGGCTCCTCCGCAGAAGCGCGTCAATCTCCGGTAGCTTACTCTCAGGATAAATACTTCACGTAACACTTAGAAACCCCAGGAAGAACAAGAAGCTGGATGAGGAAGAATCCAACTATGAAGTAAACCATGTGATGTGAATTTTTTAAATAAAAAAAAATGATTAGCTGTTTTAAGTAATGTAATTCTCAAGTAGTTTATCTTAGAATTTCCAAAGCACTTGACAATGCCCATAGCATCTATGAAATGGATATTTCTATGGTGCTTTATACCTGCTGAAAAATGAGGGAGGAAATAAATATATTTTGGTTTGGCAGAGGTAACATTTCAAAAAAATCCACAAATAGTGAGACTAAATTTACTAATTGACAAAAACTGAAAGAAAATGAAACATAGTGGCTTCGAGGACTTCATCTTTCACAATGTTACTAAAGAGATTTTAAGAGAACTGAATCTGCTCCAGTGTAGTAATTAGGCCAAAGGGCTTCTGTAAAAGAGACATCAAAATTATAGAGATCTGTCACTCAAATTACAGAGGGAAACTTCACCCAACTCATAGTCTAGAGAAACTCTGACTATTGGCATTAAGGTGAATTGTCCTGGGACCAAGGCAACATGATTGCCCTCAATATAGTATCCAATTGCCCGGAATCTGCCCTGGGCTAACGTTCACTCTGCCAGTTCCTGGGAGGGCAGCTTTAACACGCCCCAATGTCCACGTGGGCGTGTTTCCACTTCCACCTCCCAGGATGCCTGCTGGTGCCATATGGCTTTAACCAGTGGATTGCCTGTGAACTAGAGTAACTCCTGGAGAGAAACAGGCCTGTTACACGGTACCAGTGGGAGTCTAAAGTGACACAACGCACATGGAGGACAGTGTGTTAATATCCGTAAAACTTACAGACACATTTGTAAGCAAAGTACAGGACATCTACATAACTGAATACTTTGTCACCTTACGAGAGAACAGAGCAGCTCCCTGTGTCCTGGTACGGAAAGACAGATGGCCAAGGCAGATAGTTTGATGGAAAAGTAGGATACTATTGTCTGAGAAAGAGGGGCTATGTAAGAACACACAGCATCTATGTTTGCTTTCGCAGAGAAACACTGGAAACACAGCAGAGACTAAGTGACGAGATCACTGAGGGAGGCTGGAGGGGACAGCGGTGGCTTTGCAGCTCAGGTCTTGTTCTGTTGCTCTGAATTGTGAACTGTGACAGTGCATTCAGGTTGGTTGAATCTAAAGCTGGGGAAAGAAAGTGTTTTCTGAAACAATGTTACCCACCATTGACCAGGTAACTCAAGAAACCAGGAAAGCCTTGCTGGATCACTGAATTCATATATACACATCTTAGATTGAGAAGTGGGCCCCAGACATTCATTTCATTTCTTTTTCTTTTTTAAATTTTATTTATTTATTTTAGAGAGGGGGAGGGAGGGAGAAAGAGAAGGAGAGAAATATCAATGTGTGGTTGCCTCTCACACGCCCCCTACTGGGGACCTGGCCCACAACCCAGGCATGTGCCCTGACTGGGAATAGAACCTGCGACTCTTTGGTTCGTAGGCCGGCACTTAATCCACTGAGCCATACCAGCCAAGGTTCATGTATTTTTCTTAAAGTTTCCATTAAAAAATACTTTTCCTATCAATCTATTTTTGTCTCCTAAATTTCGTAGGAGAATTACTCTAAAAGTACACTTAATTTGTATTTTCTGTTTGGTTTATTCAAGGTATTAATAATTTAGCATTATTAGTAGTAATAATAATAGCAAATATTTCCATGGAGCTTAGCATAAACCAGACACTGTCCCAAGCTCATTCAGTCCTCACCACAGCTGTATGACATAGGTTTGCCATTACCGCAATTTCGAAGCCGAGAAAACTAAGGCCCAAACTGGTTGTTCAAGGTTACTCTGCTGGTGAGGCAGAGTTCAAGGTCAGACCACCTGATCAAAGGCCATGCTCTCAGCCACTTGCCCTGCGACCCCTAAGGAAACCGAGACTTACTAACTAGAAGCAAACGTAGGCCCTTTAAAATGATGCACTATTTAAAACACCACAACTATGCAACAACCCAACGTTTCTCACCGCGCAGTTGACATTTAGGGCTGGATAATTCTGTGTCATGGGGCCTGTCCTGTGCATGGAAGGATGTCTTTACCCACCAGCCTGCCTCAGGGCGTGACAACCAAAAGGTGTCCCCTGAGGGGTACAATCACCCCAGGGTGAGACCCTCACAAATACCTCCAGCCTCTTCATATGTGTCTCCATGATTTCATTTTACAGGACTCTTTGAAAGAAATAATACCTAACTTTGAAGAAATGTTTCTCTGAAGTTGTTTCTTTTCCTTCTGTTACGTTCGAGTAAAATTACACGTTGTGTTTTTACGGACATGCGCACAGTGGCTACCTCTGGGGCACAGTTGATAGGCAGTTTCTCTTCTTCTCTAGACCGTGATTCGTGTGTCAGCACGTCTACCGTGATCTTGGACCCGGGGGGTAAAAAGGTCACGCTGTAAAAGACCGACCCAACGACCGTTCGCTCAGGCCCCAGCTTCTTCCCTGGAACCCAGAGGCTATGGCACCACTTCCCAGCCATCAGTCTGGAGTTTTCTGGGCCATTCCCCCCGCCCCTTGCTTTCTCCCCTCTTCCTTTGTAGTCCTCTTCTCGGTAAGTGCACTCAGTGGAACCTAATGAGGATCTATTTATGTGAGAACCTATTTTAGGAAGACACCAGCACACTTGCTGAGAGATGTGTGCTGCGTCCATGCGCCAACCCTCAGACCGCAACCTGAGCCGCTTAGAAAGCCCCGAGCTCCTCCGAGAGGCCCCGGGCTAAGCCCCGCGTCGCAGAGCAAAGTCACCTAAGGAATCTTCTCCAGCACGAGTGGCAGGGCTGGCCTCTGCCCGGTCACATGCCAAAGCGGGACTGTGGAATTCATTCATTCAAAACTGCTAGAGAGGTGTTCACTGATACAGAAAGCGATTCATATTTATATTTTTAGTAAATGGCAAGTAGCGAAAGAGACTATATGGTATGCTTTCATTTTTAAAACCACGTACATGCAGATGACACACGGGGGCAAGTGTGGAAGCCCATGCACCAAGGACGAGCAAGCGGGGGGAAGGCTCCCTTGCCCCCGGGGTCGCGAGGGTTTTTACGGATTCATCTCCCGAATGCCTATGAAGCACCTGCCCACGCAAGGCGCAAGCCACTCGGACACGTCCGGGGTGTTAGGGTTAGGGGCGATTTGGGTTTTCTTCTTTCTGCATCTCTATACCTTCTGCCCCCTCGATTCCTGCAAATAATTTCAGCTAAGTCAAAATGACCCTCTCTCTTAAATGTGGCACGTAATCACAAATAATCAGCACGTAACCCATACTTACAGGATTTTTTTTTAAACAAGGGTAATTTTTATGGGAAAGGAGCACCCGTCTCGCTGTCATGTGCTTTGTCTCGGCCCGGTCACCCGCAGCTGGCAGGGGCGGCCGAGGAGTCAGGGAGTACTTGGCAGCAGATTTTGTTCCAGCTCCAGCCCCAACACTGACAGCCTTTGTCACTCTGTGGGGTGACAGCTCTGCCAAGGCACGCTCCCCGCCTTGTACGTGGGCTTGAACCCAGCCTCCCGTGAGCCTTTGGGCTGAGGGCCTGCGGTCCTCCAGGAACCGGATGCCTGCAAGGGGCTGCCCTGAGGCCGCCGCGCTCCAGCCTCCGTGTCCCCTAGGAGGCTGTCGTGAGGCAGTTGCTCCTGCTCTGTGGATTCTGGTGGGGTGTGGATTTTCAGCCTTACCCCCCTCACAAAATAAGGGGGCTCATCAACAATGGGGTACGCCAGAACTCACACTGCCGTCATCTGGCCAATTTTGTTTCAGGATTATCCTCTGGTGTGTGAGGGACAATGATCTGGGGAAACTGGGACCTTGAGCTTATTATTCTTTTCACTCTCTATGCAAGTAATAGACTCTAAATCTAAATGTGGCCCACTGTATCTTTCCCAGAATTCGTCAGGCCTTGGCCTTCCTTGCCTTGTCTAATGTGTGAGCTGGATGTGTTTGGTGCCCAACACGGGGCTGGCTACAATGCTCTTTGAGGACCTGGCCAAGTAGGAGACAAATCGATTTCCGAGATCTAGTAGGTCTGGCTAAGTGTATGAGTGTGTGAGGGAGGGTGTGGCAGGGGTAGGATGTTCACAGTAGGGGGTGTGCGGTTCAGAACAGGTCAAATAAAGCTGGCAGTGCAGCCCTGGCGGAGTAGCTCAGTTGGTTAGAACGTCGTCCTGATGTGTCTAGGTTGCAGGTTCGATCCCTGGACAGAGCACATACAAGAATCAACCAAAGAATGCGTAAGTGGAACAACATCTCTCTCACTCTCTCCCATCAATAAATAAAAATTGTTTTAAAAAAGAGACTGG